AATGAATGCCAAGGTAGGGAGGCAGGCAACAGAAATGAGATGACTCTCCCTTATCTGTCATCACATGCCCCTCCTACCATAAATGCACTTGATCCAGAAACAACACTATGCTCTAAAAAATAGCTTAGATGAGACTAACTCTTTTACAGTCTACTGAGCCACTGCCGCCAGAGAAGGACAAGCAGGATGGGAAAAGAGGCTGTTCAGGACTTACTGTAACTTACTCCTTTTGACTCCTCGAGCTCTATTTAATCCACCTTCCCATCAAAGGCTCTCCAGCTGAGTACACCCTAACTTTTTCATCTTCACACTATGGCACTGATATACATGCCCATGGAACAATTTATATTGAATTATTTCCTATCATACATTGTATAACTGTATACCATCCTCTCATGTCCCCTAGTTGTCCCTCCAGTCAGATCACAAAATGCTTTAGAGACAAAGAAAGAAAACTCCAGGTTGACAGAGAACCCACAGATTTCAAATTTCAAACACAAGAAACATAGCACAGACCTTAAGATAAAAGTTCACAAGGATGAAGTTGACACAAGGAAGCAGATTGGACAGACCCAGACAGCCTGGGCACTGGTCATATCATGTCAGCCCAGGGACCACATATTCCATATGACCAGCTCCTAGGCAGCATCTGATATATAGTTAAGTACTTTTTAACTTTAGGTTTGCGATGAGGAAGGCTTTGCAAGTCCTTCCAAGTTGTGACAACCAATAATTAGTGTGGCCCTGGTGGTGTTCTGGGATGCATGAATGTTTAAATAACTAAATGCTTGTGGGCAAGAAAGTCCGAGGCCAGCTCATTGTAGATAATCAGTAACAGGCTAACTGAATTCAAAAAGATCACAATGAGTATGAATGAGGCAAATAAAAAACGGCACATTTTCTTGAAATATATTAAAACAAGCTGTCCTCTAATCTAAATTAATTGTCCCTGCCATCCCCAAATTCTATGCAAATTATGATCCTTACTGCTCTTCCTCCAGATGAAGCTAATGGTTCCCACCAGTGAACTAATGAACTAATGGTTCCCACCTGTGAAGAAAGTGTTGGGCTGGAGATTTAGCTCAGTGGTGCCACCACCTGCCTCGCAAGCACAACGTCCCGAGTTTTATCCCGGGTATCAAAAAAAGAAAAATTCTACCTAAGTGACACAGAGAAAGTGCTTGATGTTCTAGTCCAGGGCCCAAGTTTCTGCAAATCAAGTTTTATTGAAATATAGTCACTTACCTATTATGTGTGACTGCTTCTGTGACATAGTGACCCAAGCTAGCTTATTATTTGCAAGAAAGTCTATATGGCTCACAAGCCTAAAATATTTACCTATCTTGTCTTTTAAGAAAAGTATCCGCTAACCCCTGATCTTATGAAGCAACTACAGACTAGGAAATCAGAGAAATCCACATTGAAATCCCAGTTTCGTAATCACTAGCAAAAATTACCTCGTATTTCTGGGCCTTAGTTACCTCTTGTATAAAATCAGGATAGCACCATCTGCCCTGCAGGGGTATTACACAGAGTAAATGAGGTAAGGCAGATGAAATGCCTAACACACAGCAAGTAAACAATAGGTGGTAGCCATTAAACTAGAATTAACATAACTTACAAATGTGCCATATTAAGAAATACTCAAATGTAAAGTTATTCAAGCTCTACTCAAACATAAGACAATGGGCTGGCATGCATTTCACTTCCCAAGAAATAACAAGAATACTATTGTTTTATAAGGCCCAAAGTACTTCAATTTTCTCCTCAATTGAAAACATAAAAAAGCAATACTCCAAAGTTTTGCTAGTATAAAGCCAATACATTCTGTTCATACTATTTTAAGTGTAAAATAAAATCTGGCATGTAACTTAGACTATGAGTAAGAAATTTTAATCTGTGATTAAAAAAAAAGGGAGAAACCTAAATAAGTTTACAGTTTTGATACAACTATCAGCAACACTTGCTGAGTTCCCGAGATCTTTCATGTAAACAGTATTTGTTGAGTGTCTACCATGCTCTGGGCTCTGGGTCCAGCTGTAACACAGGAGTTGTCTCCACATACTGAAAGGACTTACAAACCAGGGGCCTGCTCAGCACCATGTAAGATTAGAATCACAAGGCATAGCCCTTGACTGCAAAACCATCTGTGTTAAGTAATACAAGACAGTAGTACAGCTTGACAGCTCATAAGCAATCATCTCACCTAACTCTGCACTGCACAAACAGGCTAACTGAACTAGCCATGGTTACAAGCAAGCTGGTTGCAGCCATGCCTTCCTGATGACTTGGCATTAAAGTCTTACTTAAGAATTACTTCTCAAAGGTCAAGTCTGAATCTTTTGTTTCTTTATAACCTTACAAATGATACTTTGCAAAAAGTATCCAATCTTCAAAACCCTGAATTCCTGAGAAGCATTATTCTGTTCTTCTGTCTTCCCACAGAAGGCCATCCATTTCTGTTACTGTATACACTACTGCTACTGCAACTGTTTGCTCATTTATCAGCCCTACTTGTACTAGATATGAGTTCCTTGAAGACAGGAACCATGTGCTGATGACAACCGTAACATGTAAGTACTTAGTATGCGGTAGACTTTTTATAATTTTAAACTCATTCTCTTACTTGTTGTTCACAATAACTCAATTAATTATCCCAACATTACTGATGAGGAAACCGAGGCCTGGAGATGTTACAAAAGCTCAGCACAGTAAAACAGATTGTACAGATTACTAATCAACATCCATATTGCCTCAGTTCTATCCCCAAACTTATCCTTCACTTGGCCACACCATGTGGGTGAAGCTGCCTCCCTTCTTGAGACCAGTAGGTCGAGCAGTATAATAAAAAGCAATCGTGGACACTCATTCCATCTTCCAGCAGTGCTGGAGTGGACACACAAAGCTCTCTGGCCAATGTGATGCACAATGTGATCCTGATGGGAGCTCCTAAGACAGATCCTCCCAAGTAAAAGACATAAGTAGATATTCTGTTTCTTGAAACACTCCTTCAACTACTGCTGATATTAAATTTATCTGAGATATTAAGTTTTCTTACAATAATTTTAAGTCAGTTGAGTCTGTTTTCAGTTACTCTTGGCCAAAAGCATCTTCATATACACACAGAAAAAGTAGTGGAACTGTGGTTCAAACATACATAAGGTGACTTCACAGCCCTCAAAAATGTAATGAATGGACTCTCTACGATCACTCCCACCACTGTCACCAACGCCAAGTCCAGAAGTACTTCCAAACTTCAGCAAAATGAGTAAGTAGCTAAATAAAATAGAATTTGAGTCAGCTTTCAAACACAAATATGGTAAATTTTATATCCAGTTACAGGTGAAATATCAGGACTCTCGGTTACACCCTTAACAACCATAAAGTCTCATTTCTCTTAGATGAGACTGAGCGTTCTTGTATATGGAAAACAGTCTGCTCTAGAGCCAATGACAGAATCCTGAAAGAGCCAGGTTCTAAATCCAAAACTGCCACCTGTAGTCCCACACACCTGTATGCCAGGCACTCAGGAGGCTGAGGTAAGAGGACTGCCGTGAGTTCCAGGACAATATTGGGCTACACAGTGAGTTCAAGACAAGATAAGCCTATAGTGATATCCTGTCTCAAAAACACCAAGCAAACAAAACAAAATAAAAAGTCCAAATCAGTCTCAGAAGACTGAGTTCAGTCTTCAAAAGCACAAAGATTCAATTTCTGTCAGTCCCTTCCACAATGTCCATGTCACCTAGCAGCAGTCATGCAAAATCCCCCCGCCTCCCTCTATCTTAACTCCATCTTCAGAGGCTCCCCTCCTGGCAAACTGAAAAGAGCTGAGATAATGATGCTAACAGAGGGGACACAGAGAAAGAGATCTCTTCAGCATTTCAAGTTACACCTGTTTCATTCATAAAGCTCAGTATTTGGTATATTAGACAGCTTTCCTATTACTGAAATAAAATACCTAATGCCCACAACTTTATAGAGAAGGGGTTTGTTTATGTGGCTCATAGTTTCAGAGGTCTCAGTTTGTGGGGAAAAGATGCTCCAAAGCGGAAACATCATGGCAGAGGGGCATCGCAAAGCAAAGCTGCTCACCTCATGGAGGCCAAGAGCACAGAGAGAATAAGGGGGAAGAGCCAGAAGACAGGGAGGGACCACAGATAAGAATACACCCTTTCCAGGTCACACCCCCAGTGACCCACCTTGTTCAACCAAAGTCCCAACTCCTAACAATACGTTCAGCTATGAACTCATCAGTGAATTAATCCATCGCTGAGTTCAGTACCCCCCTGATCCAATCATCCTCAAGAACCACACCTCTGAACACATGAACCTTTGAGGAAACCTTTTAGATAAAACCACAACAAATGGCAAAACGGTCAATCTTCAAAGTTGATCTGGGCCATGACATGCTACTCCCACCCCCAACCTACCCCTCCACTCCTCATCAAAGGCACAGAAAGAAACTTAATATTTAAACCTGAGGAAAAACCTCTACGCCATTACCCACAGGTCACAGGATAATCCTTAACAACCTATACTAGTTCTAGTTAGTTACCCAGCAGACTTTGTTAACAGTGACCTGAAGGTTAAAACCTTCATATCCTATTGCCAATATGCTCCCTGAGGAAAAAAAAATCAATGAAGATTCTTGTTTTTAATGAAGGGTCACTCACCAATCTCATGACCCATGCAATGCAAGGCACCGTATACACTTAACTTTGAGGCTGCACGTATTTGTACACTTTCAACATAAAACCTCTCCTTATCTCTTCACTAAGCCTTTTCTTTCTGAAAGGGCTTATGGAAAAGGATTTTTTCATTTCCAACAAAAAAAAATTTAAAAATCAAATTAAGTCTCAAGAAACCACAGCCTGTGCAAGCATCATATTGAAACCAAGGAATCATGTTGACTGCTCACAAAGGAGCTTTTTTAAAGGACAATTTTGATCCAGAAAGGCAGCTCTGCCACCTTTCAAGAGTACCTAAGTACAGCTTACCTTATAATTGCTAGAGTTCACCCAAGAGGTAGCAAGTCCATCCACAAGCTTATCTAACATGGTCTGGTCGTGCTCAAGATCAGCAGACTTCTGTTTGTCTGAGAAATAGTCTATAAGTTCTTGGCCAACCTGCAGTCGCTTCCCCACATCCTTTTGCAACACCTGAGCCAGGCAAGACTCCATGCGAGGCTCCATGGTAGAATTCAAATCCAGATCCAGCAAAAGCTAGAGGGCAGTCAGGATGACTCCCTCTTGGTAGCTGATCCAGGGAGGCCGCCTCTGTTTGCTGAAGGTTACTAAGAGCCTGTGTTTCAAAGATGCAATCCAAAGAATGGTAACAATGCACCATGTGTGTCTGAAGAGCAGCTGGTAGGATATTAAAAGTCCAATTTAAATAACTAACAGGAGATAAAGGAGTGAGTGGCACAGTGATGTTCTACTACTGGGTCTGAAATACTTCATAATTCAGCAGTCCATTCTGAAAAATAAGAGAAAACAACAAATCAGCACAGATAACATAATGCTCAAATGTTACAAAACATTAAGTCAACAACAAAGCAATTCATGATGCAGAATCATTTATAAACACATGTGGAGTATGAAGCATGAACACTTGGCATCCATACTGGAATAACATAATTATTACTCCTATCAGGAAAGAAAAGAGCCAATGAGTTATATAGTTGGTAGGTTGATATTTTCACAATTTCCTAGCTTGCAAAAGGAACTAATCTGGAACGCAATATTCTGATTTAGCTAGCATATTTATTTTTAACTTTAATTTTGCTTTCTATTAACCACAAAATACCACTCTATCTGAATAACATAGCATTTATTGCCTTACTCTGGGTCTTCCAAAAATAATAATTTTCCTAAAACCAGGGCAGGGTCCATAAAAACATCACTGACCATAATGGCCACCTGAGCCACATTAATCAAAGAGAGCACCTACATCACATTTCTTGGCCAGCAGCTTTCAAGTAAGTAAAAGCCCTTGCTGCCGCCACCCCCATCAAAGAAAAGAGGAAGATAAATGGAGGAAAAGAGAACAGGCTCACTCATGTTCTGATCAATTACTGATACAGTATCGAAGGCTAACAACTGCAGCATCGAGCCTCCAGTTTTGTCACAAAATCAGATCTCAAAATCATGGTTAGGTAGTGCAAAGCACATGACATGGGCAAAGTATTAAAATTATGGAGGTTGTTTGGGTTTGATGATACTGGGGTTCAAATTCAGAGCCTCCTGCATGCTAGGCAAATGCTCTACCCATGAACTAAGCCCCAAACCCTCAAAGCTGTCTTAAACAAATTATACAAGCTGTCTAGTTAACCTACAGATGCTAGAAATGTATAATGAATTTCTTACTTCAATTTATTCTTTTTTAAAACCATTACTCAACCCCTTTCATTCTAAACTAGTAAGGACCATGCTAGGCAAATTCTCCTCCAATGAGTTACATCTATCCCTGTAAGCTTCTTAAGATAATTATTTAATAAAGTCTTAAGACACTCAAAAGCAAAAGCAGGTTCATATATACAAAACTCATAGAATAAGAGACTAGAAACCTCAGATATTCTCTCTCTCTCTCTCTCTCTCTCTCTCAAAAAAAAAAGTAACTGATAATCCACTTTTACACTTATTTTTACTAAAATGTTTTTGGGATACCTCTTCCACACTTTTGAGTGTTTTCTCCATCTCTATGTCAAAGGTATTCAGGGTATACAAGTATTAATCACATTGTTCCAAATTCCCAAGGTATAAGAGGAGTTCAAGACTTTCTCCTCACTCTTTTCCCATTTTCTTCCCTACAAGCAAATAATGTCACTAGTCTCCTGTGTATCCTTTAGAAGTATTATTTAGCTACCCAAGCAAATAAGCACTCTATATGTTCTCTGTTTGCCCTTAGGAAGTTGTCCAAGCATTTACAATTAAATCATAAAAACAGAAATCTACTACAGGAAAAGTTCATATACAAATAATTTTATTGAAAACTTCTTACATTTAAAAATGCAGAAAACTTGAGCTGGGTGTGGTGGCATCCACCTGTAATCCCTACCCAACTGCAGAATCTCACTCCAGCCTCCCTGGATCCCTCCTGGCCTCCTTTCACTTTCTTTAGTGGCTTCCACACCCAGGTGGATGACATCACCCCCTCCTTTCTGCCTCCTCAGACCTTTAACTTTTACCCTTTCAGTCATCTGCTTTCAACATCAGCAATCTCTCCTCTACTGGCCAGTTTCCAGCCACCTGTAAATGTTCCTAAATCACCCACCTTCTAAAGGCCCTCTCTGGAGCTCACGTCTTTCATCAATGACACTGTTAACAATGAAGCTTCTGTAGGCAGTTGTCACACTGGCATCTCCATTGATGCACACCTTAACCTTCCAGTCTGGTTTCCCCACCTCTCCACAACTGGGAGCTATGCTTGTGGAGATCCCCAGGGATGGTCTTATTGGCAAAACCAAGATTTCTTTGCACATAACTCTACCTCTCAGAAGCATTCAAAGTTGATCGTCCTTTCTTTCTTACAAAATTCCCTACTTCTGGGGAAAAAAGCCAACATCCTTTCTGCAACTTCTCTAGCTACACCTACTCAAATTTCTTTAACCATCTCTAACCAATCGTAAGAAATTCTGTTTATATAATACTCAGTGATGCTAGACACTAAAACTTCTGGAAATAACTTAAAAAGTCTAGAAATCACTGGTCAGGCATGGAGGAGAAAGACTGAACAGACACAGGGCCCAACAACCAATTTCTAGTACCAAAAGTAACAGCACTTTGGCCCTCCAGGGAACTCTGTACAAGTCATCTTTAAACTGTGCAGACAGGACACTAGCTGGGCATATAACTGTTTACTGTGGGAAGAGTACTAAAACCAGGGGGGTAGAAGAAATAAATTCTAGTGTTCTATAGCCCCCTGTAGGATGACGACAGATGAAAATAGTATACTGTATGTTTTAAGAAAATGTTTTCATCAAAAACATGCAAAATGTTTGAGTTAGATTTATTTACCTTCATTTGAACATCATATAATACATACATGTATCAGAACATATAGTGCTGTATAAAATGACAATTTTTATGTATCAATAAAAATAAATATTTTTACAAGGTAGAATTACTCAAGTGAAATCAAAGTTATACTGAATCTCTTAATCTCGCACTCCAATGTGTATATATTAACTACACTATAATCATGACAAAATGCACTATAAATGCTCACAAGTGAATAAAAGGTGTTTAGGTTCACTGTATTACATTAAAAAGGCAGTTCACATAAATGGGAAAAAAGCTTAACTGATTATTCTCTGGCTGAGATTACATATTTCTTAATCTTTGTGCTTTTCTATATAGGTTCTAATTTTTTTCTACAAAGAATACATGCTACGTTTATAATTACAAATGAAATGTTATTCAAAAATCAGACACTACTGCTTCACAATGGAGGAAAATCCGCCTTTCAGTATTGTGGAATGGAATGTATATCTATTATTAAAGGGTAAATCAAGAAGAAAATCTTAAATGCCTAAGAAAATAGACATAGTGGATTAGTGGATCAGTTAGCTAAAAAAAAGAAGTGAAAAGAAAAAGGGGGAAATAAACACAGGTGTCAGTAAGAGATTCAAGAAGGTCAGTATTTGCCTTCACTAATATCTTAATGAAGAAATTTTTCCATCCTCTCAGATATTTTAAATATTCTCTAAATGTGCATTGTAAAAGTAGCAAAGAATTTTCATTTTATTTTGTGTTCTCCTGGGGCAGGTTTCTAATACTAGCTAAGAACTGCACTGCCCTTTCCCTATTGCTTACAACTCCCTCAGAAACAGAACGAGACAGTGTGCACTGAGAATGGCTGTAACCCCATGATGGGGACATGAGGGTTCTACTATTCTCTTTGCTTTGCATGTGACTGAAACTGTCCAAAGTTTAAAAGATGTTTATAACTCACTCTTTTAAAAAATGTTATAAAAATTTAACTTAAGTTGGAAGTGATGGTGCACACCTTTCATCCCTGCTATTCAGGAGGCTGAGGCAACAGAATTATAACAAGTTCAAGGCCAGTGTGGGCAGCTTATAGAGATGTTGGCTCAAAATAAAATTTTAAAAAATATATTTGAAGGGCTAGGGATATAACTAATGTAAGGGCCAGGGTTCAATTCCCAGTGGCACCAAAAAAAAGGGGGGGGAGGTTAAAAAAAATGTATATATATATATAGCATTCAAAACTTTTATTTGAATTGAGTGTGGTGACACACCCCTGTAATCCCAGCACTTAGGAGGCTGAGGCAGGATCACCCCAAATTCAAGACCAGCCTGGGATACACAGTGAGTTCAATGTCAGCCTGAAATACGTAGTGCAACCCTGCCTCCCAAAAAAGCCCATATGTGTAAAATCTATTTAAAAGCAAAACTAAAGTATGTAAAATAATAAAAGAAAATCTGAGTAATAGTTTTCTGAGTGCTTTCTCTCCTACTTAATAGTTTCTTCTACTTTTCGTATTTCCTAAAAAGATACTTTACAAGGCTCAACAGCAGTTACTTAACAATGACAACTTTATTAATCCAAAACAAAAACTTTACACTACTGATTTTTATTCTCCCAATGCAAAATATATGAACATATACACAGTACTGATATAAACATCAGCATACTAATGTGTTATATTACCTAGGCTGTTAAGCCTGGGCAAGAAAATTAGTAATGTAGATTACAGCTACCCAAAGAAGGCCTTCCGTGGAGATGACAGACCTCAGTAGAGAACCAGCTTTCTAAGAGGGAAACAGCACCACAGACAGGGTGTGGCCAACATGCTGGCTCCTCTATGAAGAGAAAATTCACATTTCCACTCAAATCTGCCAACACTTTACAGAGAGCTTCACTTATAGCTTCATAGTCTTGGCCATTTTTCCCCCTTTTCTGTTTATTATAGTAACAAAAAATAATCAGATAACTGAATCTCAATAGCTTCTTACATTTTCTAGTAACAGCTCTACCACATATCACATACCATTAAATTCACCCTAAAGTCAGCATTTTATTGCAGTCAAAGTTGTACAACTATCACCACTGATTCACAACATTTCGGTCATCTCAAGATGATACATGTTATTAGCAGTCACTCCCTTGCCCTCTTTCTCCAAGCCCATGAAAACAACTCACCTTTGAGAATACTTGGCTATTTGGGACATTTCATATAAAGATATAAAATATGTGGCATTTCTCTTCCGGAATCTTTCACTCGGCACACTTGTTTTCAAGGTTTGCCCATACTGCAGTATGTCTCAGTACTTCACTCATTTTGTAGCTAAACAGTATTCCATTATATGGACATGCCACGTATTGGTTTTTGGTTGATGAACTGGACTATTCTGGACTATTTCTACCCTCGGCTACAATGAATAAAGTCACTATGAACATTTCTGAACAACTCACCAACACTTGTCATTGCTCCTCGTTTTACTGAAGCCACC